ATCTGGTCCCATAAGTCATTCAACTGCTTCATGAGCCCCATAGCACGAGACTGGTAACCACCAAGCAAAATTTTCATCTTCTTCTCCATCTTTGCAGCTCTCTTGGCTTCTGTTGTCATGTGACCCCTGTTTATCTGGGGAATTGGGGAAGGAGTGGAGAATCACATCAAAATACATGGGAAAAAAAGCAGGTTATTATATAACAGGGCTAAACTAAGTACCTAAAGCAAAATACACCAGGGTTTCTCTGACCTTCACTGATACAATATGTAACACAAAATTGTCTCAACAAGGAATTACCTTATACCCAAATATTCTATAACTTCACCCAAAATTCAATCCCAAAGCAGGCTTGAGTTTTAGAACATGGGAAAACTGCTCTCTACCTTGTACAAATGAGTTCTGTGACGTTCATTAATCATTCTAGACTCCCACCTAGCCATCTTCTTTTACATAATAAAACTCACTTCAGTAGCACATGTGTTCCCTCTTACACCAAACAATATTCTACTCAAGAACAGGAGACCACTTGAAAACTGGTATTGTACCCACTCACCTCCAACTTACTTTCCTGGAAGTCAAAGTCAAGCAAGCTACTGGGGGCGGGGGGGGAATATGCCTTATTTTTCTCTCATGGGTAGTAAAGCAGTAAGTTCACAGCATAATACATCTGCTAAGAGAACCAGCAACTACTGGTCGGGCAGACAGCTCTAAAGTGGGAAGAACCATGGGACTACCCAGCTGTTCCCATGAAGCAGTTATTCACCTCTGTGAATACACAACCTCTGTGAAGCCTCCATCTCTCCAGCAGCAGTAAGATGCCAGTCACTGCTGACAGGAGATAATGCATACAAAACCCCCAGACACCCAGAACCTGGGTAGAATAAGCAATCAATAGTTATGAACTGATTACAATGATTGCTTTATAGATATGAAGAGGCCAACCATTTCACTCCTCTCTAATCAGTAAAGGACTGAGAAAAAGACTTGAAAATCTTTAAATTCCAACTTCAACAAAAGACCTCTTCGGGGAAAGAGCAGAGAACAGCTGTGCTTTCTTTGAGATGGGCAGTGTGCCTTCTGCAAACCACCATATCAAATGACATACACTGGACCTCTGTTCTACAACGCAATGTTATCAGAACATAAGAGTATTGGTACTCTTTGACTTGATCAGATTTTTTTAACCACGAAGTTCAAATGAGGTGAAGGATCCCTGAATACTCACTGCCAGCGATGTCCTTCCCAGCATATACCTAAGTGAAGATCTATCTGCTGTAGCAGAAACACACACACCCTGTTCACAGCGACACCATTACAACCCCGTCATCCACCCACAGTATACGGGTAAACAAAATGAGCGATTACCTGCACAAGAGAGCAGCAGCATACAGCCATCAAAAGCAGGAAGTACTAGCATGTGTTACTTGTGAACTTTCAGAACACAATGTTTAATAAAAGCTGTCAATGCCAACATAGGACATGACTTCACTTCCGTGAAGTATGGAGAATGCGCAGGTCTACATGAAAAGGGACTAGGTGACAAGAGGAAGGAAGGGACTGCCTCGAGTATACAGTTTCTTCCTGGGGTGAAGAAAATGTCCTAAAGGTGCAGTACCGTCTGCACAGCTCTGTGAATACAGGAGAAACAGCCATCTTTTTACCTGAAAGCAGCTGCATGAGCTGTGTGATTTCCATCTCGGAAGAGTCCCAACAATGGAAAGACTACATCAATCTTCATCCTCAGTTCTTCTGGATATAAGACAAGATTTCTCCCTTGTCCTTGAGATCAAAAGCAGGACTTTCTAGATCTAGGTTCTAGAGAGGTGGTACGGAGCAAACTAAACGACTCTTCTATTCTATGGGGCTAGAGCAATAGCTCAGAGAAGGAGCCAGCACCCGAGCCAGGCGAGCAGCTCACAACCTCCTCTAAGGCCCGACTCCGGGGACCCAACGCCTCTGGCACTTTGGTCACCTGTACGTAAGTGCACAGCCCACACACTACACACGCATAATTAAAAATAAATAAAAATAGTTATCTTATTTTGCAAAATAAAATATTTTACTTTTGTCTCACAATGCAGTCAAGGAAAGAAGACAGTATTTTACCTTTACTCTCTTCCTTGTCAAACATCGTTAAAGCACATTTTTTTTTAAACTGGTGATTTAGACCGTGACTAAATTTATAATTATTTGTGAAGCTTTTCAAAATGACTAGCCCATTTCTGATTCAATGGTTTCAGAACACTGTCTCCCAAGTCCCCAGTAAGTTCTAATGCGCAGCCAGGATGGAGAATGGATCCAGCTGGGATCAGCAGAGAACTGGTATCAACTGTCTCCTCAACCACACCCACTACAACAGTCCTCCCTCCACAGGAGCAAGCATCAATCCCACAGCGCTGCATCAAGGTCTGTTCTGTGTGTAACTCAACACCATCTAATACCCGCATTAGACTTCACTCACATGTGGGTTTCAACACACATCCAAAAACCCTTAAAAGCATAGAATTTCAAGTTAATATGGTGTGTCTTAAAAATTAGTTATACAAATTAACATTTTCATTGGTTAAAATAACTCAATTAGCTTTACATTGACCATACTCCATAGATATTCAATTTCCAGCCTGGTTAACAGCTTAATACCTATGTGCAGAAACCACTTAATTAGTCATCGTGGGACATTTAGCACTGAGTCCCCTGTCTCTGGGAATTACCTCACTCATACAGTTCAGCTGTTTATTATTCCCAAACCACCAGAGGTTTTTAAACTTCAAAGTTGTTAGTTTCCAGTTATTGCCAGCAATTACATTTCATTCACCTCAAACTTCATAAAAAAACTTCTGGCTCAACTACATCTTTAGATAATATAAATTGAAACAAAAAATTAATTTCACTAAGTAAATATATTGTGTCTATGTGTATATATATATATATATACATATACATATATGTATATATGTGTGTGTGTGTATATATATAGTCATGAGACATAAAAAATTAAAAAGTAGATTTTAGTATTAAATTTTAGCTTTTAGACATTTGCTATCTAATTATTAAAATAGGAAGGAAAATATCCATTCAGCATTTAGAACACAACCTACCAGCTGCTGAGCACACTAGGACAAAAGCCTGTAACTATGAGGCCTGAGGCGCCAGAAGGTAAAGCCTGGTAGTTCAAAAGATAAAACTGACAGAAATCAGGCTATTATCAAATTCATTATCTTAGTCTTCTAGAAAATAAGCACGCTGAGGATGAGGAAGGGAAGCAGGAAGTGCACTGACACCAGTTTAACTGTCAGAAGGAAGCCTGCTACTCTGGATGCTAACTTAATTTTTTAAAAATTAAGCATTAACAGCTGTCCCATTGAAACTTATTTTGAGAAAAAAAAAAAAACAACAAAACAACAAAAATCCAATCCTGACTTACAGAAATGATACAGCCTCCTACATTTGATTTTCCAAATGTTCTAAAAACAAGGGGTTTGGGGGAGGAACTACAGTGCCTTTTGAGCTACCACATTTTAAAGATTACTTACAGCTGGGCAGTGGAGGTGCACACCTTTAATCCCAGCACTTGGGAGGCAGAGACAGGCAGACTTCTGAGTTCAAGGCCAGCCAGGTCTACAGAGTGAGTTCCAGGACAGCCAGAGCTACACAGAGAAACCCTGTCTCGAAAAACCAAAAAAAAAAAAGAAAAAGAAAAAGAAAGAGAAAAAAGAAAAAAAGAAAAAGAAAGAAAGAGAAAAAAGAAAAAAAAACAAATTCTTTTTAATGCCATTCAATTATTTTTAAAGGATGAACATGTTCTATCTGAAATATGAAATATAAGATGTTCTAAAGTCTAACACGTCCAGAGCACTGGCATGTGCCCCGAGGGGAAACGTCGTATCTGCCCTCATTTAACAGGTCTCAAAACTATTTAAAATGCTGTATTGTAAAAGTTTAAAATAAAAATATTTTATTTTTTAGGCTATTTGCATAAAAAACAAAGATTTTCCATCCCAAGGTTCTCACTATGCATATGCAAAAACTCCACACTCTGCAACACAAAACATTTTGAGTTCCAAACGTCTGGACAACGGGAGCTGAGCCAGTGCACAGCAGGGTGAGCAAGACGGAGACTCATTCTGCTTTTGCCGCCCCTTTTAACCTCTTGCCCATCTCCACAACAGTCAGGTGGAGTTCATTCTCCCTCATTACACTGAATTTGGTGAAAAGCTTTTCGGCAGCTGTCCTGCCTATCTGTGACGTATGTCAGAAACTGCATATGTACAAACTACTCAAGACAAGAAAAGCCCAAGGAAGGAGTTATCTTTGTCCTTGAGATTTGCAGAACTAAAATATCTTATACAGCCAATTAGGATCCCATGTGTAAGGAGGCAAGGCTGCTACTGTGAGAACCTACCCACCAACAGGACGAGTCCCCCTTCAGGCTCCCTAGCAAGATAACCATCCATCAGGGTCTCCAAGTGCAGGCCTGTCGCTGTTCAGGAAGAGGATTTAAACCTAAAGTCAGCCTGGGTGACCTAGTGAGACCCTGTCTCAGAAAGTACAAAGCAAGTGAAGATGTACCGATGAGGTAGAGCACCTGCCTAGCATGACTAGGGCTCTAGGTTGACTCAATTCCCAGTACCACCACCACCTCAAGATGGACTCTGAACAACAGGCTAACCGGCTTCCTTGGCATTCTCACCATGTAAATAGCCTGGACTGGAGCACAATGCTAGTAAACAAAATATCCTCCCTAGGCTGAAATGCAAACATCCCTAAAGAAATTCAAACAGGGGAGGGGGGAGAAGCAGGGGGGAGTAAGTGGCTTGATGCCACCAGACAACTCCCTTAAACAACAAACAAATTCTAGACACATAAACAAAACATGAACTTGTATGTCCCCACATAACAAGAATTTCAATGCCTGAATGAAGCTATTAAGATTTCTAATTGTGAAAGTGGGGAGTGGTTGAGAGCACTGACTCCTCTTCCAGAGGTCCTGAGTTCAATTCCCAGCAACCACATGGTGGCTCACAACCATCTGTAATGGGATCAGATGCCCTCTCCTGGTGTGTCTGAAGACAGCTACAATGTACTCATATACATAAAATAAATAAATATTTTTAGAAAAAGATTTAATTGT